TGAGAAAGGTTGTGCAGTTGAAAACTGTTAAGTGTAAGAATTTCTTGATATAAATTAGAGACAGAATTAGTGGACATATCAAGAGCAGTAGTATTTAAAATGCAGTTAAGAGAATGGAAGATTAAATGATAGATTGTTTGAGTAGAAGGACAAAAAGTCCAGTGTAATGAAGAACTAGTTTGATTACATTGATGACAGAAAGAAGAATAGGAAGAATTGCATTTGTGAAGAATATGAGGAACAGGTAATTCATCTAAGAGAATTTTAACATGAAAGGTTTTTAAAATAGAGGAATGGAAGTTATATGCAAAGATAAAATAGAAATTTATATATATATATATATATAATTTTATATAAAAAATATATATATATATAAAAATAGAGACCATTCTAATTTTTTAGATTTTTTTTTTTTTAGAGACCTGGTTTACTTACTTCTTTTAACATATCACCTAATTCTGTGAACCAACTTTTCAAGTATAGGAATGCATGTACAACTTCAGAATTTATTCGATTTCAGTTGAAACTGATTGTGTACTTTGCAATAAAGAAGACTTGTTTACTTAATACACTCATAGACTGAACCACAAGAAAATCCATCGAAATGCATGCAAGTACTGAGAATTGGTTTGAGTTCGTTTTCTACCAAAGAAGTAGGTTTGTCTCAGTCTTAGGTTCAGAAAAATATTTCTCAATTTCATACTGATTTAGGTTCAATTGATGGCATTTCGTGAGAGTTTGAAAAAAATTTTATATTAATTTAGTAACAGTAATAAGTGGTAATGGTTTATTTTCTTTAGGTGCTTTGTATATTTGGTATACTTCATGAAGTTTATTAATAATTTGTTCATGTTCAGTAAAATTATAGATAGAAAGTTTATTACAAGGATCAAGAAGGGCTGAAATTGCTGATGATTCATTTAGATAAGCCTAATACAATATATTTTTACTTTCATCACATTAGTTATAGTATGTTGTATATTGATCACTGGGTTTTCATTATTATTTAAATGTATAATTAGATCATAGAATATCAAATGCAAGTCATCTTGGGTTGAAAATATTCATGAAGACAGCATTACAGTTACATAATATATTAGTTTGAGAAGAACTAAAAGGTCTTGTAATTTGTAATAATAGAATCAAAATTTTTTAAAACAATAGAAAATTATTTAACTAACTGTAATGATTTCTCATTTTTGTTCATCAGAATAATTCACTTTTAACATTTGGTTATTCACAACAAAAATATCAGTTATAGGCTGAATTCATTAAAGTTTTTCTAATAAAATATATATGCTATTCCATCTGATATCTATATCAGTTTGAGGCATTAAAAATGGTTTATTTTTTATTTTAAAAATTTATTTTAATTCTAATTAATGACAGAGAGTTTCAAAGTCTTATAGAGAACTTTTAGACTTTAGAAATTTCTTTATTGACTAATTTAATTCTCTGACTAACTTAATTCCTTTCTTAACAATAATGTTTAAAATATACATATCACAGTGAAAATGCTGTACATTATTATTACTAAATTTATTGCACATTCTTTCTTTTAGAACATGACCCATTACAATTATATTAAAAACGTTATTTTGTCATTATTCCTAAGAGCTTATGGTTTACATTTATTGTTATTAAAAGTTCAATTATTATATTAGTTTGGTTGGTTGTAGTGTGTATTGATTGAAAGAAATAATGTCTAATAAAATGCAATGCATTTTTCATTCAGGATCAATCCAATGAGCAGTTACACCAAAATAGAGTTGTTGTATGCAAGATGTCCAAACATTCATAATAATTAAAATTTTTGGTAAAATGTTGTTAAAAAAAGAGATAATTTTATTTTTATTTTTAATATACTCTTGATTGACCCATGTTGAGATTGTCTGGTGATACAGAGCTTTGTATCTTGAATCAAGTTCATATAAAAAATCAATAAATTCATTATTTTCAACTAACAAAAATGATTGTTGGTCAATGATTATCTATTTTAAAAGTTTATTATTTAATGTATCTATTTTATATTTATTATTTAGGTCATAAGGATCAAGTTATCTAAATTTATATTATTTAATTTTAGTAAACTCTGCAGAATGAAAACTTTGAAAATGTCAAGTAATAGTTGATATTACAGTCAATTTGTCAAATGTTTGTTTATATAATTTATATTTTTTATCTTTATCAGAAATTGATAAAAGATAATCTCTAATGAATGATCAATTATTTGTGATTGAGGTTGAGACATTATTTAGTGTTTGATATATATTATTTAATAAGAGTGCAATTTCATTGCTTGTGGTTTTTTCATTAGAAGTTTCAAATTCTTTGTCTATGGATTTAGTATAATTTGTTGTCATGGATTCAAAATTGTTTGTTTCTATTTTTTTTTTTCTTTTTTTTTTTAAGAGATCTTTAAATAACTTTTGTAACAAGATCATACATCACCTTTTGTTTTATCAAATGAGAATACTATAAACATAAGTAATGTTTCATGATCAATAATAAAACTTTTGCATTTTCTATCAAGTAACATATTAAAGCATTAATGTTCTTTAATATTAATACTACTTTTGTTTTATTAAATAAGAATAATTGAAATATTAAAAATCTTTTCATTATTTTATTGAGGTAGTTTTCTTTTATTTAAAGAACAAAGATGGTTAACAATCATAAATAATAGTTTATCATATTGAATTAACTTATATATAAGTTTAAATTCATTTTTATTATATATTTAATGCTAGAGATAGTTAATTTCTTTAAGACGTATGTATCATTGCCTTTAGTATAGGAAACAGTATCTTTATTATTTCTAAAAAAGTTGGTTAATAAGTGTGAGTGAACTGCTTTTGTTATTAAATACTTATGTTACTAATTTTACTCACTTATGAATGTATATTTAAATCCAAAGATGGTTAACTTCTTGACTAGGGCTGTGAATCGATTTAAAAATCAGAATCGATAATCAGAAATATGATTAATAGACAATCTAGAATCTTAGAAATTTCAAAATGCAATAATTGTTTGTAGAATGATTATACAGAAATGAAAATCAATTCTAATTTAATTAATGATTAAAACGATTATTATAGAATCAATACACACTCCTATTCTTGACATGACAAATAGTTAGTTCTTCTTGTCACTAATTCTTTAATTTCATACTTAAACTGAGACCATAAATTATTCATTAAGGCGTATGCCTTTCAAAAAAAAAAAAAACTGCTTGAAAATGGCAAGATTTCTTCTTGCTATTACAAGTACACTATCTAACGTCCAATGAATGCAGTTCTTAGGATTTATAAAAGGACCGGGTCCCAAGAATTTAGGTCCCATATATAAATCATGTGATTTAAGGTTCGAATCCTTACAGATCCTTGAAAGGATTGGTTAGAATCGGTCAGGATTCGGTCCCAAAGGACCGATTAACATCCCTAATTATCATAACTCCTGGAACACCTGATAATTATTTTACAGCATATAATTTAAGAATTGGTAACTAACACTAATATAAATACTACAAAACTAGTACGTGCGTATATCTCTGATTGGGCACAGAAATATCAGGGTATATAGTGTGATTCCAGAAATCGGCGAGTCTGTCGCTAAACTAATCCAACTCTCGCGTAACCTACGGCGGCTAAGTCGAAATAGGCG